CTCCCTAAATTGATATTTTGCTTGTGTCTGAAAGACAAACAAACAAGGACTCCAGTCGTTATCTTTAAGGCTATCTTTATCTTTAATATATGTATATTCTTTCTTTCTTTCTTTCTTTCTTTCTTTCTTTCTTTCTTTCTTTCTTTCTTTCTTTCTTTCTTTCTTTCTTTCTTTCTTTCTTTCTTTCCTTCTTCTCTTTCTTCCTTCCTTCCTTCCTTCCTTCCTTCCTTCCTTCTTCCTTCCTTCTTTTCTCTTCCTCTCTCTCTCTCTTCCTTCCATTCCTTCCTTCCTCCTTCCTTCCTTCCTTCCTTACTCCTCTCTCTCTCTCCTTCCTTCCTTCCTTCCTTTTTTTGTCATGTTTATGTAGTGTATATTAAAGGGGTGGTGACCCTTTGAGAGCTGTATGCAACAACATTCCATTTTAATGTATGCTGATTAGTGTATATTTAAACTGACAATAAAGTTAGTCTAAGTCTTGGTCCACAAAATGTGATGAGCCGTGCGTGCTTTCCCCTACTTTGTTAAGGATAACTGTGGCTAGTTAGGTTTCCATAATATGGTAAGCTAAAAATCACAGTTTACATTGGAAAGGCTGGATCCACATAATAGGTTTTATTGGTTCAGTGAGATGTGTGAATCCCACTAAACCCTCTCAGTGGAACTGAGGAGGCCCTGGTCTCTTCCATGCAAGTGTATGCAGGATATTTGATAGGAAAGCAAAATTTGGTTTATTTTCCTAAATTCTGCTACTAGTTGCCTAGCTTTTTGCAGCCTAAATCTAGTTGTCCTGTAGGGTTTAAGATAATACTGTCTGAACACCCTCTTCCCCATGGGAAAACTGGGAGAAGGTACTGGGACCTTTGACATGCAGCTTAGGGGTCCCTTGAACCTTATATCCCATGTAATTATTTCCCTTTTGAGACTGGCTGGGTTTGCACAAACCACAAATTGGCAGGCAGCAACTAGAGCAGGGATGTCAAACTCTCTTTCATTGAGGGCCATATCAGGGTTGTGGTTTACCTCTGAGGATTGGGTGGGCATGGCCAATTCAGCATCGCTCACATTGGGGGCACTGGTGGTTGCCCTGGCAGGGCTGGGGGATCCATTGTCTCCAGTGCATGCCAGAGGGCGTGCACTCCTTGCTGGCTCCAGGGTGATCTAGGGGATCTATGCCTGACCGCGTTCCAGCCCAGATGACCACCACCAAGTTGTAGATCAGCACCCAGCTGGCCTGGCTTGGAACCGAGGCACCGGGGGCTGGTCCTTTGCTGTTTCCAGGGCAGCCCCACAGGCCAGATCTAACCACATCACGTTTGGCCTGTAGGCCTTGAGTTTGACTCCCCTAAACTAGAGCGTTATAGGATTCCATGTGTCAATTGTGCCAGAGTTTGCAATCAAATGGGGTGTACTTTGTGTTCTGCCAAGGACAAAATTTAGTAGGTGACCACTGAGATACTGTGGTATTATTCTACTGTTGGTATTATTTTCATTCCCCTTTGTGATTTCACTAGGATAAATGAAAGCTAGTTTTATTACTTCAGTCTAAAAGAAATGTTAGTATCTTTTGATTTCTGTACCAAAATAGCTTCTGGCTCCTTTAGACCAGACCAGACAGAACAGAACAGAACAGAACAGAACAGAACAGAACAGAACAGAACAGAACAAGAAAGTTGGAAGGGACCTTGGAGGTCTTCTAGTCCAACCCTGTGCTTTGGCAGGAAATCCTATACCAGTGATGGCTAACCTTTTCCGGACCGAGTGCCTAAAGCGCACACGCGTGGGTGTGAATGCAATCACGTGTGCCCAAACCCCCAAAATGCAATGCGTCCCCCACACAAAGCCTGACCTTCCCCATACATGCGTGTGCGCCCCGCCCCAGACATCAGGGCTCTGGTGGGTTGCCCCCGGTTCGCATCAGTTCTATAGAACCGGTAGTAAAACCGGCAGGAGGCACTGCCCACTGACCCCGACGTCACCAAAATGCTTCTGCGCATGCGTAGAAGAGTGTGCATGCGAGCAAAGCATGTGCGCGTGTGCGGCCCCGTTGCGAACTGGTAGTAAAGGTAAGTAGACCCCACCCCTGCATCAGCCCCCCCGCATGTCCGCCACCCACCCACCTGTGCCCCATCCCCCCACACATGCGTGCGCACCACATGCACACACCGCCCCCCACACATGCACGGCAGAGACCCAAAGTCCAGCTGGCTGGTGTGAGGCGCACACACACGTGCATACACAGTGGAGCTGAATTGGGGCAACAGATTGCGTGCCATCAGAGAGGGCCCTGCATGCCACCTCTGGCACGCGTGCCATAGGTTTGCCATCATGGCCCTATACCATTTCAGACAAATGGTTGTCCAGTCTCTTATTAAAGATTTCCAGTGTTGGAGCATTCACAACTTGTGGAGGAAGTTATTAGGCTATGATTTGAGTATGTGAACTCTACATAAATACATGCCAGTGTGTTCACTGGACCCAACTATATATTTCAGAGGTTAAGGCTGAAAAAAAATGAACCCAAAATAAATGATCTTGAGAGTAGGTCAAAGAGCTTTACTGTCTTTGAAGAAAAATTGATTTAATATACTCCTACTTGTAGTTCTATAATGAAATTAATCTTCATTTGAATAAGATAAATTAGGTCATTCAGTGCCAGATTCCTTGCTAATAGGCTTCTTTTTGGAAGCATATAAGTATGATCTCAATATAGATACCAATTGCAACATTTTTTTCTTGGTGCTAGAAATATATATGGTCAAGAAAGTCTTAATATTCATATAATGTATGTAACATTTCTCAACCTTGGCAGCTTTAAGATAGCTGTACTTCAAGTCCTAGAATTCCCTAGCCAGACTGCCTGGTGAATTCTGGGAATTGAAGCCTGCACATCTTTTGAGATGCCAATGGTTCAGAAATAGTTGGATAAGGATTGTTTTGGATTTTGTATAACAGCTGTGAGTAGAAACAGCATAGCAATGCACTTTATCAGTAAGGTGATCAAAATGTCACAAATATATGCTTATGAGTCAAGCAACGAAAAATTGGTAACATAAAATAATAATGTAAAATATTCAGTTATTTTTATTATTGATTACTAACAATAATTCTTGATGTTGCATTATTTGTCTAGGGTCCCTATTTTGTTTTGTTTGATTTTTCCTGTTTATAAGGCTATTATAGTCTGAGCTGTCACATCTGTTCTGATGTTTTTATATTTTTTTTTCATTTCATATGGTACCCAGTGTCCATTGGGTAATAAATTCAAATATACTGCTCAAAAAAATAAAAGGAACACAAGCAGAAGACATCTGAGATCTGAATGAATGAAATAGCCTTATTAAATACTTTGTTCTTTACATACAGTAGTTTATACACTGCTCAAACAACTAAAGGGAACACAAAACTACTGTATGTAACATATGTATGTATGTATGTATGTATGTATGTATGTATGGCTAAGACACTGAGCTTATCGATCAGAAAGGTCGGCAGTTCGGCGGTTCAAATCCCTAGTACAGGTCTCCTGCGTGAGCAGGAGTCCCTTCTAACTCTGTTACTGTTACAACAACATTACACAAGTTATATGTCATAATTTGCAAAAAACTTACATGCAAAGCTTATATATGTATAGAAATAGTGCAGCACTGAATCATGTAAGAAATCTGGCAGAGACTGTAAGTCATAGGCAAGGAACATGTTGCCCTCCAGCTATTCTGCAACAGCCACCACCATCTCTTCCTGTTATGCTTATACTGGCTGTGTCTATTGTAAACCATAATTCATCAACATCTAAAATTTCCCCGGTTGTTCATCTGGACTGCAAGGGAGAAAGGCCCTAGGTTGGTAGCATCTTCTATGCAAAAGATATTGCATTATATTTCCACATAGCACTTCTTGGAAGAATTGTTTTGTAAATCTTTTATCACTTCACTACCTGTTATATTGGCTTGATGTATCAATGCCACCATGTTCCATGATTGCCAAGGTTATGATAAGCAACCATATTCAGGGGATGAAGGTTAAGATTCCTATTGCCAGTATTTATCTCCTTGGATTACTGAATTTCATCTAGATGAGATGGATGGCACATAAATTTTTCCCATGGTCTGATTACCATATAGATGCGTTTGGGCCCCCTATAGGATTATTCCTTTCCTCTTAATTCCATTTCTATTTTACATAAATGTCTAATCCAGTCAGTTTTCCAACACGATATATACATGCTTTCTCTATGTCTACATAATGGAACATTTGGCTTGTCTAAGCAGAATTGATATTAAAACTAAGCAAAAGGTCATATTTGTGGGATGGGGAAAGAGTAGGGGGCTCCTCACTAACACTGTGAGGTAATCCTGTGTCTCCTCCCATAGTCACCATGTTAATTAAGGAGTTTTCTTCTCTTTTGCAAGTCAACAATATGCAATATTAGGGTTTTAGGGAAGGTAAAGAGTTTTTGTAGACTTCATTAGATTGGGTTTATACCACAGATATCAAACTTGATCGTGTCACGTCATATCATGTGACGTATCACAACCTTTTTTGCTTTTCCAGAGCCGGGGTGAGCATGGCCTGCATGTAATGCATCCGGCCTGCGGGCCACCAGTTTGACATCCCTGATTTATACTGAACCTGCAAAGAACCCTCATCATTGTTATCTGCAAAATCTGCATGTGGATTATTCTAGTTTATAGCAGGACAATTTTCCAAAGAGAAGCCTCTGATAAATGATGATGTGTGAATGTTTCTGGATTGCCTCTTGATGTTATTACTATGGCTTTTCAGTGAGGAATGGGATCTCAGCTCTCCATGAGTGTTTGTAATTAGAATTGCTTTGACAAATATTGAGTACAACCCACTGTGTAATGCATTTTCACAATTCAGTTTATAGCACAAATGAGAAATATTTCAAGCACTTTCTGTAAGTTTTTGAAATCAAGGTGCCATGGAACCTTACTGAAAACAGTAAGAATGCAAGCAACATATTCACAGAGACAAGAATCTTTACAAATAACAGGATATTTATTACCAATAACTTTAAAAAAGATTACATCTGCTAGATCACTGATAAATATCATTTACACTGGGGAGAAAAACTACATAGGCTTTTTTTCTTTTTTCATTCTTTTGTGGGTTTTTTTGTTTTGTTTTTGTTTTTACATAGAAGTAACCATATCAAACAAAGAAAGGAACACAGCTTGAAATACTGACAATATTTCTCTGATTAACATCCCTAACTTACACAAGTGGAAACCTGATTATGAGTTACTTAATAAATATATTTTGAATGTTTTAAAAGTTACTTTGTATGTTTTGGAAGCAAAAGAGACAAGTTAGAGGAAAATTTAAACTATCAAGGACAAATTATAAACTTCAGTAGTATATTTTTAAAGTTGGGGAAATAATTTAAAAAGTCATTTTAATTTTAATTATTATTGTTTCATCTGAGCATAATTACAAAATATTTCCCATAGTAACAAAAATCTTTTTCTATTAATATATTTTTTTTTGCAATTTTTGACAATTATCCAGTGTTCTTGTGCATGCAGACAATTCTGCACAAGCAGATTGTAGGTGCAATACAGCAACTACATGCATTTACAAGCCACTGGATTAGTATTAACAAACTCTGCTCCAGTACTGGTTTTCCTGCAATGAATGGCAATAGCATGAAAAAAGCATTATGAAGATTTAAATTCATTTGTCAGATTTTAATTGGGGATTTATCAGCATGATAGAAGTGTAAATGTGACAGACCCTGAAAGTTAAACCTTGATATTCAGAACACCCAGAATTAAACAATTTGAAATTCAATGAGATATCTAGACATACAAATTGCTTTTAAAAAGAAAAGTAATTTTAGAGAAAAATTCTGTAGAATATTATTTATCAGACTTTTAAAATGACCCCTAGCCAAGCAAGATCCTATCAATATAGAACACAGGTAATTTATGAAATCAATCTATAAAGAACTGTAGGTTACATGTACCTGTCAAAATAAATTTATTTAGTAAAGAAAGCAGCATTTAAAGTCTTCAAGATTTCATGATTAAAATGGTGAAAATGCAGAATGTCATTCATTTATTTAAATAAAAGATTAACATAAATTGTTGAAATGATAACGTTCAGATTTTCACCACACTCAGAAACTTGTCTTTCACTATACAGTAGCAATGTCTGGCATTCATTACATTAAGAGTGATGACACTAAGAGGAATGGATGATAATTTAACGTTTGTTCAATTTTATAGAAATCAGTACATTCAGGTAAAAATCCGTGTTATGTGTTACCAAAACATTATCCGTAAAGAAAAGAATGCTATGAACTTTCACAAAACCTAAACGCATAGCATGTTTTACTTGTAGTTTATTTATCTGATTAAAAAAGGCAGTCTTGTACGTCCATAGTGGCAGGATTCATCCCATTCTGCATATATGAAAGAGATCCTGAAATATTACTATACTAATCTTTTCTCTTTTCTCTGTCTGCCTCTTTACCCTGCCCCATCCTCTAGATACCTATCCTGGTTGGCAAGGAGCATAAAATTTAGGCTTCGTTGTGGTTATCTAGCATCTAGTTATCTTTCTTCTTCAGAGGGAATTAGAGTGAACCACAATGGAAGCTTTGAGTTATAAGTGATTCTGTTTTTTTGAAGCATTGCGCATAGTGCAGCAAATTTAGGCCTGAAGGAGAAGGCAGGCTTCATCAAATACCTGTGGGAATATTTTCCATGTCCAAATAGACACACACATATACACACACACCCCTGGAAAAATGGACTGAAGCTAAAAATTCATTGTGCATTCTTGTCAACCTATACAATCAATTTGAAATCAGTTACTGACAATTATGGCCATCTGGCCTGAAACATTCCAAACTATATATTTATGCAATGATAATGTCATCAATAGCATTTCATAGCAGAGGGGGGGAAAGAAATCAGTATCTACATCATATATTAACTTTAAAAAAGTCTATAAAACACTAAATATATAATAAAAATATGCATATAAGGACATATGTAAACTGCTTTGGTAACATCGTATTACAGATGTTTTCAGTGCATTGCAGAGTTTCCAAGGAAACTTCAGACAAAGATATATTTGCTTTGAGGAAGTACTGTATAATGCCATTCCTAGAGAAGCATAAAACATTTCTTTCCAGTAGTAAGATGTACTTGAACAACAATATTACTTAGTACTGGGTGGCTTCAAAACAACTAGCTAAATGTTGCTTAGTTATATTATAAACAGGAAGTCCTTTCAGTATTTTTTGTCATAAACTTGATCTCGCTGTGAGGGAAATCATTATTGTGCTGATGGCTGACAACGTACAAGCATTTGAAGTTGAAGCTCCTGACCCCCTCGCATACGCATCTAAAGAAGAAAGAAATCAAGATGTTTTAATATATCACAGCTTAACCTGAACAAATGAATGAAACTTCTGCCTCAGATGTCATGCACACATTTCCCTACAGCTGTTTCAGATAAAATGCTTTTATGTAAAGACTTCAAAACATGCATATCATGTCTAAATAGGAAAAGATTATTTCAAGCTTCTACTGCTACCCTTTTTCATCCTAATTAAGGAACAGCTTGTACAGCTTTCCATTTTTTTTTTTTTTTTTTTGGTGTGGTCATTTTCACTATCTTCATTCTATAAAGTAAAGAAAGTTTGAAGTCACTCTCTTTCGATTTCAAGGAGACATCCACATGGTTTTTCTAGCAGCATTGCGGAAAATAGTTTACTTCCACTTTTCTCTCGGAAGTAACTGCAAGGATAGATTCTTCATAACCTTTCATACATGACGTATATTTTTCATAGATCTGATGAAAATGTTTCTAGTTCACAAAGTCTTATCAATGAATTTGGGAATTTCAAAATATAACAAATATAACTGCTCATTGTTATGACAACAAATCTGTTGAGTAAGGAAATAGCTCAATGTGCACAATTGAATACCTTCAGAGTCCCTTATTGGAGGCAAAAGAGGCAGTGACTATGAAGGATCCTATTTCATTTTAATTTTCTTCTGGCAGTATTATTTTAGATACATTTTTATTTTCCCTAAAACGGGCATTATTCTGTCCTTGCAGAAAAATACGCTGGTCTAATGAATAGTTTCACCTTAAAACTCAATGACAAATGAAACAAATACAGATAGCCCTTGACTTACAACAGTTCATTTAGTGACCATTTGAAGTTACAACATCATTTTAAAAAGTGGACTTATGACCATTTTTCACACTTATGACTGTTACAGCATCCTCATGATCACATGATCAAAATTCAGATGCTTGGCAACTGACTCATATTTATGACCTTTGCAATGTCATAGGATCATGTGATCCCCTTTTATGAACTTCTGACAAGGAAAGTCAATGGGGGAAGCCAGATTCACTTAACTAACTTAACAACTGCAGGAATTCATTATTGTGACAAGAAAGGTCGTAAAATGGGGCAAAATTCATTTAACAAACATCTCACTTAGCAACATAAATTTTGGGCTCAATTGTGGTCATAAATTGAGGAATACCTGTAAGACAAGTTGAAATGTTGGGTTGTGTGGTGTTTCAAGAATATTTCAGTTTGTCTTTTTAGCTAAGAGGGAGGAGGGTGAGGCTTATTTCTCATGAACCCCTGCTTTAGCATTAAAATTGACATCTTCATGTTTTAAAATTGATATCTTTATGTTTTCTCTATCTTTTTGTCTTGCTGCATGATTGTAATGCCAAATGGAAAGACCAATATTAGCCATGGTAAGGCAGTAGTTATATGGAGCCGTAGTGGTGCAGTGGTTAGAATGCAGTATTGCAGCTTCCCTTCCCACAGCCGGAAGTTCAATCCTAACCGGCTCAAATGTCAGGTTCCAAATTGAACTCTGAGGCATTCTGTTTTCTCAAAGAACAAATTTATTTAGATACACCATCTTGGCAATAATTGGTGAAAAGTCAGTCCTGAAGTTTCAGGGCTTTTCACCCCAATATAAGTTTCAGTTTTTCAAGTTTCCAAAATAAACTGTCATATTTTCCAACCACAAAGGGAGCTCGTTTCTTGGTGACCTCTCTCCTCCTCCGGTCAGCCAGCTGTTAGAATGTGCCTGATTCATTGGCTAGCTACGATGTTTTGACTGAAGGCTCCATCCTCCTTCAGTTCCAAACTGTGTCAAACTGAATTCAGAATCCCCAAGGATACAAACAATCCCACACCCCAATCAAATTCAGGATTGACATTAAGGTTGAGTCAGCCTTCCATCCTTCCGAGGTCAGTAAAATGAAACCCTAGACTGTTGGGGACACTATGCTAGCTCTATAAACTGCTCAGATAAGAACTATGGCATGGTATATAAGTCTAAGTGCTATTGTTATTGTTATCAGACAAGATGGCCACTGAAACTTATTTCTCTAATAAATTAGTGTATGTTACATCTCACACCAAAACCAAAAGAATGTATTTATCAGTTTCATCAACTTTATGTACTATGATTTTTAATGACACACACATATAAAATTGTAATCCAAAGTAATTATGCTTTTAATACAATAGTTGGAGCTGTTTCATAACTGTATTACTTCCAGCAAGAAGACACTGTTTTATGTTAATCCCTAACAACTAGCTTTGAAACTATGCTTCATCTATGGAACACAAAGATACTATTTTATTTTAATCCCTACCAATTGAACTCTGAAACTATGCTACATCTATGGGACACTTCTGAGTTCTCTAGAAGCCTACAGATTTATTCCAGGACAGTCTGAAGTCAAAATCTGATAAGGAGCAACATTAGTTCTAGTTGTTCAGGCATCTTTTAAGTCAGAGACATTTAGCAGTTTAAAGATATTGGAGATAAAACAGATTTTATCTCTTCAGTCAGTTCCAAAAGTAAAAAGCACAAAGTTGAAATGTATGTTTTTTAACTCATACACTTTATACTTAGGTAAACCAATACCATAAACAAAATACTCTTACTTGTTATCTTTGGAATTCGAATCTGTTCACTGCTGTTGCCATCCCCTCCATCACTGATTGGCTTTATTTCTATGATATAATCTTCATCAAAGGGCAATGAAAGCTCCACAGATGTTTTGTTTGTCTCTATAATAGACATACTGTTTTGTCTATTCCATCTATAGAACACCTGCAACATATATTTGATAAAGGGAAATTAGTGTGTAAAAAGAATTACACTGTAAAAGAAATAATTTCTTTTTCTAGGTACAAAGCATCTTATGTTCTATAATGCAAGTGACTTTTTTTATAGGAAATTATGTCTTCCTGTAGATTAGAAGAAACGTCTGACACATGCTTTTATAAGCTGTTCTTATCTTCATTTAGCTTTGAGAAGTCTAAAAGGAGATATCCCTCATCTTCTGAATTTTGTAGGCTGATTAGAAGGTTGCTTCCATAGACATTTAATTAAAGTGACCCCTGAATGTTAAATGATATGACTGAATCTATAAAGGTGACTTAAAGAGGCTTGAATAACTCCCTGGACCACGTAAATGGAACTGACTGACTACTTATGGAACATAAAGAACTGTGATTAATGTATACCTAATCACCTCAGGAAGAGTAACCTCAGGTTTGAACAAAAGTGGAATTTATTAAAACAAGATAAGATGCAACATAAGGAGAACGAGATGGACTGGATGTTTTAAAGCATAAAGGATATGATACCGTTATATCCTTATAAAGAATGCCAGAATCGCCAGAAAGAACATGGTGATTATGGAATTAATGGATGGCATAGATCATAAATTGGAAAATATTATACAAAGGACAATGAGCAATGACCAAGATGCCCAGGAAAGGAAGGAGCTACCAGAAGGAATAGAGGGAAAAACAGAATTGAGGAATCAACAAAAATAAGATGAGGAGTCATCAATAAAATTAATAATGCTTGATGAATCAAACCAGGGGGGAAACATTCTAAGAAATCTACAAAGAGAACGGGAGGAGCAGGAAGATACTTGGGGAAGAAGGACAGGGGTCCAGGCTGATAATTTCAAAGCTAGACAGTGGAAGAAGGTAGGGATGGGAGAAACACTTAGATTTACTAGGCAGGATGTAAACACAGATACAGACAGAGATAAAGATTTAAGAGAAGAATATGGGAGGCAAGTTAAAAAAAGAATAAGTATTAAATATTGATGCGAACAAGAGATGATGGATAGAAAGCGGATAGGAAAAAGAAGAAAGAAAAAATCTTTTTTTTCTTTTTCTTTTCTTTTCTTATAATGGTGGCAGGAAGAGAAATTAGAACAGAGATAGGAATGTGTTCAATAAGAGATTGAGGGATTACGTGTATATATACCTTTACATGGTGAAACAAAAGTAATAATAAAATGGAAAAATTAGAGATTGAATGATGGAATTACTAAGTAAGTTTAAATAACATTGTGATTGGTAAACGTTGAGCAATTAGATAATGAAAAGAACATATTTTAATATAAACATGTGTATTAATACTAGAATTATATAGATTGGATGAAAGCAAAGAATATGAATAGAGTTATTTTGTATGTTTAAATAATATAGTGATTGGCATTAGAATAGTATATTGAAACATTGAATAATGAAACAATGAAAGATAGTATTTAAATATAAACATATTTGAAGAGTGAAATACGGGAAATATGAATAAGAACTAAGTATTAAAAATGGGAAAATTAGAGATTAAATAATGGTATTATTGAGTTTGTTTAAGTAATATGATTTACAGTGGAATAATAAAGTGAAATAATGTAATAAAATGATTTAAGAAAAGAACATATTTTAATATAAACAGGTATATTAATAGTGGAATCATATATATTGGAAGAATGTAAAGAATATGAATAGAATTAATTTACATGTTTAAATAATATTGTGATTGGTATTAGAATTGTATATTTAAATATTGAACAATGAAATAATGAAGTATACAAAGTGTATATACAAAGTGTAATACAAAGGGAATGTCTTTTAATACAATAGTGACATGAATAAAAGAATAAAGACAGAAATAAGAGAAAGGGAATATTAATAGACACATTTTTATAAAATAAGACAAGTGCAAGGTAAGAGGAAGGTTTAGAAACTGAATGGTGGTAATATGTATGTTTAAACAATATGAAATAATGAAAGATTATAATTTGATATAAATGTGTATAACTACTAGAAATATATAAGTTGGATGAATGTGATAACTATGATCAATAGTACTACTTATCTGTACTGTAATGGCACCCAGGTGTCACACTGTTCACACATTGATATGTATATGTAATATAAAATAAAAAACTTGATAAAAAAAAATAGAAGGTTGCTTCCATGACACAAAGTGGAGACTAGTTTAGGCAACTTTATTTTGTAGGATTTGTACTTGCTGCACAAACTACCAAGTACTAATTCCTGTTTTTGAATAATATTTTCATGCCACTGAGACATAAGGAAAACATTTTGCTAGGGGCCCACTACGTTCCTAGATATATTTAGTGGCGATTATTTTAATAAGGGACATGACGGCAACACTAGCCTTGTTTGGAAGGCTGGCCATGCGACTTAAGTATCACATGATGGAGTAAACTTCTGTTACTTGCCCCAACTTCTGCCAAACTAGCAGTTCAAAAAGCATGTGAATGCAAGTAGATAAATAGGAACCGCTTTGGTGGGAAGATAACTGCATTCTGCGTGTCCTTGGTACATAGTCATGCCAGCCACAGAAATGTCTGGCTCTTTGGCTGTGAATCAGAGATGAGCACCGACTCCTAGAATCGGACATGACTGGACAGGTGAAATCTTTAGCTTTTATCATTTTAAAATTATTTAATTAGAAAGTTAGTAATGGACATAAGGATTACAGCTCAAGTGAACTAACTCATTGCGATTCTTTTATGAGATTTATTTTTTGCAATTATTTCATGTTAATTGAACAAATAACCAAATGTTTTCCTGCCCATTACCTACTTTGTATCCTTTCACTTCAGATTCATTATTCTGTGCTTTAACTTGATCCCAGTTCAGTATAATCTTAGAGTCTGATGAATTCCATATAATGTTTCCAGGAGGCTGACTTGGAGCTGAATTCAAAACATAGAAGTTTGATTATTATTAAGAAGCAACATTTTTCTTACATAACATAGATTTATCTGTAATGTATGTCAGGTGCTCTAAGTTGAAGATGTATATTTTATAACAAATAGACAAAAGTATGTATTAAAATTCACCAGCACATCCAACGTGACAAACAGATATATAGTAAAACAGAACACAATTCTGTAAACTGATGACAGTTGGGAGCAGGCCGTGTTCTGAACAGAAAACAAATATTTATTTTCCCTGGTCAGCTTTTAATTTTCCATGTCACAATTATAAAATTAAGGCTGACTGAATAGCAGCATAGAGGTATAATCAATTAAAATACAGGTAGTGCTAATTGAATGAACACTCATTCAATGACTGCTCAAAATTATGATGGTGCTGAATGGGAGGACGTAAAGATGGAACATTGTAGAATGGCAATCATTGTCGTGTCCCACAATCATGTAATCACAATTTGCAAACTTCACTGCTGGTTTTCAACAAGGAACATCGTTAGCAGGGGTGAAATTCAGCCAGATCTATCCGGATCGCATGATCCGGTAGCGCCAGTGGCAGGAGGCTCCACCCACTCGCCCGGATGTCATCACATCCTGTTTTTGACCCTCTGTGCATAGCAGAAGGCTCTGCACATGCGTGGAGGAGGTGTGCGTGCTCACATTTGTGAGCCGGTAGGGAAAGGTATTTCACCCCTGATCATTATGGAAACTGACAAGAGATTGCAAATGGTAATCATGTGACCACAGGTTGTGGCAACGGGAGGATTCATCTAATGATGGCCACTGGGATTGCTGCAACTGTGATTGTAGACAGTGTGATCACACAAGGTTGCACTTAACAACCGTGTTGCTTAGTGACAGAGTTGCTGGTCCCTATAACACTTGTTAAGAGAAATAATTGAAATAAAAATCCTGTCTTCCCCCATTCACCATACTCACGTGGCTTTTTGGTTGTCACATTGACCACAGCGCTGGATGGTCCCATCCCTGCTGTGTTGTAAGCTTTGACAGCCAAATGGTATAAAGCACTGCTCTTCAAGTTGGTGATTTTTGCAAAAGTCTGATTGGTCATAGTTTTCATTCTTCCAGCCTGCTCTTCTTTATCTCCATGTTTCCAATATCTAACCTATGCACACATATTTAAATGTATTCTTATTTGTAAGCTATGTAAGTTTATACTATTTGCATTACAATTCCAAAGAGATGAAAGTTTCCCTGAAATGTGTGTTTAAATTTTAAAGGAATCCACATATACCCATTATGTTTAAATTGATGCTACTAAATTAGTAATTGATAAAATACCATTGTTAAAATTCATCTCTTTTTAACATTGCTATTATTATTATCATCTTAATAGCAAGTTAATCATTTCCTTGGGGCAAATCTGTTTTGGGCCAATTAGTTGCACCATTTCAATGTTCATATGCCCTGTGTAAGCAAGGAACTTCCTTTTCATATTTGCTTGGATTCTTGATGGATGGTTAAAATTAGGGATAAACATTTTTTATTTTATATCAAACGAGATGTATGCTCTTAATACCTTTACTACCAAGAGATTTTGCCATAATTCAATTTTAATACAATAATACAACTTTAATAACAATACATCTTCAGTTATTGAAGAATTTATTTTTAGTATTTTCTCAGCTCTACCTAAATCTTCATAAGGCCTGTATATCAGGAGGAAGCGGCCATTCTAAATATTTATTTCATGTATGAAAAAAATACAACCAATTTCTAGCAAATGTTACAACCAACAACTTTCTTGTCTATATCACTTGATGTTCTGATAAATGCTTGTTTTCAAGATACAGGACGTAGAAGTAAAATTTCCCACTTTAACTTCTAGTTAATTATTTTATTTTAATCTAATTAAAATAATATTTGTTTAGTGTTCCTGTGAGCATGAGAGGAAAAACATTTGTAATATAGTACACAAAATGGGATTTAGACGATATGTTACATAGTTCAAGGAATTTGTGGAGGTAGCAAAATGGCTGATTATTTATGCATTTATTGAAACATCTAAGATTTTTATTTGCAGTATGATGCATTAAGAACTGCAGCCATATGGTCCTGAAGCTTATTGATAGCAATTAGATTTTTTATTTCATTTGTTAATTGTTTTTTCATGCATTAAAAACTGATAAACATTATAAACCCAACAACCCTGAATGAAAATGTAATGCGCCTACCTCATAGCCCTGTATTCTTCCTTTACTCTGGGTCTCTGGCAGCAAAGACCAAAAGACTTGAATATCGGAAGCGGAAAGGCTTTTGGCAAATACATTGGTGGGAGCTCTGGTGGGTTCTAGAAAATAACACCGTAATTAGCTGTAGTGTCATGACACCTATAAATACCACTAATTTAGAAGATAAAATCAGGTATAAATGGCCTTAGGCTACCTAAGAACCTGGTTTATTCAGAATTCTGAAAATTGTGTTTATGCACAGCACCCAGTCATCTTACTAGAACAGGGGTCCCCATCCCCTCACTCACTGGTACCTGTCTGTAGCCTGTTAGGAATTGGGCTGCACAAGTAGCGTGCAAGTGAGTGAAGCTTCATCTGCACATATGTGGGATCTAGATCATGCATAAACCATCCTCCCCAGTCTGCAAAAATTGAAGACAATTTTTCATCTGAAACCAGACCCTGATACCAGAGAGGTTGGGCATTGCTGTACTAGAAGGAACTTCTAATTAAGCCACATCAAAACGTTATGTAATATTTAATCTGGAATCTCTAATTTACAGACTACGAGGCCAAGAACAAATTATTTCTATCCTCCTAAGAGTAAGAACAAAGTGATTCGTTCTTACTCATAGGTTTGATGATGAAAATTGGCAAAAAAACCCAAAAACAAAACCTATAGCCATGATGGCGAACCTATGGCACGTGTGTCCCAGGTGTCAGGCAGTGCCCTCTCTGTGGGCACGTGAGCCATTGCCCCAGTTTAGCTCCGCTGTGCATGCACGCGTACCTCCCACCAGCCACCTGGTCTTCAGGTCTCTGCCGTGCATGCGTGGAGGACTGGGCACGTGCGGGGAGGCCGCACGTGCATGCACAGAGGGTGGGGTGCATGCTGGAGGGCTGCACGTGCATGCGTGGGGGGTGGGGACATGCAGGGGGTTGTGCATGCAGGGGGATGTGCATTCATGCATGGGGCAGGGTGCATGCACAGGGGCCGCAAGCACATTGCATTTTGGAGGTTCGGGCACGCATGCGCACATTGGATACTTAGTCCAGAAAAGGTTAGCCATCACTGCCCATTAGGGTTTCCTCTTTTTTAATGGTGCCATCATCTCTAACATAATTTATAACTCAAGTTAGACTTGTTACCATCTTTTGGATTCAATCACATTAAATGCTATGTAAATGTTACATAACAGCAGAGTAGAGAATAATATTACATTATTTAGCAGTTACACTTTAATATCTGTCTAAAACAGTGGTTCCCAACCTTTATTTGGCCATGACCCACCTAAGCATCTCTAAAATCCTGATCCTCCTCACCCCGCCCCCCGGTGACATATAATTCTTACTATTCAAAAAGTGACTCCTACTTATGAGGAGGAAGCCTAAAAGGCCATTAACTTGGTTTAAACAAGGTTCCAATTGCCCCCATTAAAAATCAAATTCCCTCCCTGCAAAGCATGGGCCCCATGTTAGGAACTACTGGTCTAAAATCTACCCGATTAGGTGGATGTTAACATGTTTTAAAAACAACTACAGTTGAGGGAAATGTACAGATCCTATGATTGAATTCATAGGCATTCATGAAACTATGTGTGGCTACAGAAACAAACAAAAAATGGCAAACTGAAAGAGAAGCTAGTGTTGTTTAGTTCCTAAATCATGTCGACTCTTTGTGACTTAAAGCATCAAGGTTAAGGCCCTTCTGTCCTACACTGTTTCCTGGAGTTTGCCTAAATTCATATTCATTGTGTTAATGATACTATTTAAACATCTCATCCTCTGCCAACCTTTTTTTTCCTTTTGCATTTAATCTTTCCCAACATCAGAGTCTTTTCCAATGAGTCCTCTCTTCTCATTTGATGGCCAAAGTGTTTTAAGCTTCAGCTTCAGTATCTGCCCTTTCAAAGGACAGTCAGGGTTGATTTCTTTCAGGAAGAAGAGTTAGTAAGTCCTGATTATTTTCAGCTTTCAGATCTTTTGAATATGATTGTAATCAGGCTGAGATAGGCTGATGATTTTTAAATCTGACTGCCAGCCAATCTTCAGAATTTTAGGCAAAACCTGACTTTGAGTTTAGACAAAACTGTATTTGAGATTAATTTGAAACTCTGATGAGATTCAGGTCTTTAAAAACTGAACTTGTTCAGATTATGATTTACAGCTGAGTATGATTATCTCCATTGTGGGGATTATTCAATTATGTTCAAAAAATCAAGTAAGATTTTATTGCTAAAATTAATTTAGAGAAAAATGTACTGCTATAGTGAGATAAGGGAATAGTTTATAATTAGGCAAGATTAATTCGTGCTAAATTTCAATACCATTCTTCAGAGAATAAATGCTCAACAGACATTAATTATGCATATCTGTTTATATGTACACACATACATACACATAAAATAGGGTTAGCAATTATCAAAAGGGTTTACAAAACATTATCACAATCCTCATGTAATTTCGGAATAGGTTTAAACTTAATATGCAAACATGCCACTGCACGTGCTGCCAACACTGATAATAGTGCCATTAAGCATTAAAATGAGAAATTAACATTTTAATTTGTGAAAATATTTTGACCCAAAAGGTCCTCTTAAACCTCTCAATGAGCAGTGTAACATAATGCATGTCTCGAATGAATTATCTCATTCTTCAAACAAAATGTCACCATGATTAATATTAATTTGCAAGAGAATGAAACCTAAAATTGGGTACATGCCATTTCTTAGCAGCATATGTGGACATTAACAATAAGAGGGACGCAAGGCCATTTCGAAAACAACCAGCTTATCATATACTGCCAGATTATTTGGCTAGGCTTACCTTCATCGGCTGAATAAACAACGGTGATAGAGCTGAAAGGACCTTCTCCTTTGTTGTTGTACACTCCAACTTTAACTTCGTATGGTGAAAATGGAGGTAAACTCTCATTCCGAAACACATATTTGGAGGCATCTGGTGAAACCACTACAGTCTGCATCCAGCTTATGGTACCAACTGGTCTGAAGGCAACAACATAGCCAAAGCCTCCTCCATTCTGTAACTCTTCTGGCACTGTCTATACCAAGAGAAGAAACATGGAAACAGGTTGATGAGTAGCTTGTGCTTGTTAAGAGGCACAGTAACATTTATCCCAGAAAAAAAATAATACTAGAACTAAGTAGTTCACCCTGGAACACTTTTTCCTGGCAAAGGAAATAAGCACACAATTTTAAAAGCATCCTATGTTTTACTGCTAATTTGTTTCAGACTGTTCATGTCCTTTTAATAGTCTATTTGCTTTTTGAAAAGGCTTTAGTCCCAAAATAGTATAAGTTAGAAGAAGAACAAACTATACTTATAAACATTACAGACAGTTAGTAATCAAGGCCGATGCATCTAACAGCCATCTGTGAAGAGACAATTGTAAGTTTATTATCTCCCATAAATGCACTAACTGTGGTTTGATCCAAGTAAAGGTTATACTCAAGAATCGAATAAACTGCTTATGCAGATGGAAGATTACTTTCTCCTTTATATAGCAGCTACAATTCTTGACAACAATAGCTGAATAGCATCCTTCTTTAGCTCCAAGTCACAAATGTGAGAAAGGCATCTATTACAGTATTTTTGAAGAAGAGTAAGAAAAGAGCTTTAGCAACTGCTTAGGTTTTTCTAAAAGCATCTTGGTGGAGCTTAGAAATGTTTATGGTTCTTTAGCATTGCTTTACAGTAAATGGAAACTTTATGCCTTAGGTCCCCCCCCCCCCAAATTCTATCAGTTATATTCTCATTCCCATGAAGTATATGCTGGTTCTTCTTCGATATGAAGATCTACTGTACATAATCAAGGTTGGTTGAACTATTAGGCAGAAGATGAGAACCATTTTAGGATGAAAAATATCAATCATCAACTCTACTTTAGCCTTTGCGCTATCTATACCAACTGTCCTGCGTCTCTGGGAATTCTGGAAGTTAAAATGTGCATAGCTTAAGGTTGCTAAAGTTGAGAAATATTGGTCTACTCAATAAATTTATAGCACAGAATTTAAGAGGAGAGTATGCCGCCTTGTTCTTTGTCTCAGTATGGTGTTCACCCTGTCCTTCTATAGTTTTGATCTAGGAAGGACTGATAGTAAGTAACCAATTATCTTGTCATTTTACAGCATGATTAATCCTGTAAATAAGGAATAGTCAATAGGTTTGCTGGAAATCCATGAGGTCCAATCAAAATGTGAAAACTTGGAAGTAGATGGCAGAAAATAGAAGTTAATAAAGGGTACCTCTTAAGATTAAAACAGTGTTGGCTGTTCTGGAATGTGATAAAACTGATATGATCATCCCATATTTGGTGTAGGATACTGCTATTTTATTCCTAATTTTTTTCTTTTAGTAGCCTCTCTACCAAAAGAGTTATTACGTTTGCCCTAAGAGCAAAGACCTAATTCTATGAATTACACAAGGATAAAACTTCACCCAACTTGGAAATATAGACCTCAATATTTTGATGCTAATTTTTATGCATCACTTCGGTTGTTTGGGTTTTTTTTTGGTTTAATTGGACAGCACATAAGCCTGCTTTTTATATCATTAAGAGAAAAAGCCAACAGCCCTGGCTCCTTCATCCTGCTGGTAAACTTGCAGAGATTATTAACTATGAACAGCTAAGACTTCTGCTTAAATTGTTTTGTTTTGTGTGTGGGATGTAACAACTTTCCTTTGGATTTTAGGTTTGGACAGTTAGGATTCTTGTGCTCATTTCTGAGCTCACAGTCAAACAGCTAGCAATAAAGATTTTCTGCTGTGTTGTATTACCTGAATGCTTTTCTGAATTTCAATGGCTGGTAAGTGTCACTAGTTACCCACTTATTCATCCTTGTTTGGTTCCTACATGCTGTCTGTTTTGTGTACCTTGTGCCATGCATTTGTACAAAGGAATGGCATGCATAAAAGATGGAATACATGGGGCTTATTCAAGGTAGGTTAAGTGGCAGAAGGATTTGGTTTAGCAGATTTCTGCTGTGTAACATTTGGAAAAATACCAGAATGTCAATTTCTAAGAACATTAATCAACAAGTAATTTGCAAAAAAAAAAAAAAAAAAGTGGCTCTCAAGTGAACTGATTAAGGCAATGCAAGTGGAAAAATAACAGAGCCATATGCAGCACTAGATTCACTACCTACAAAATACCACCGCTGTGTGAGATGCACTGGCTTCCAATAATATGCAATTCATATAGAATTTTCATCCTATCAGCCTACTTGCAGGGCTTCCTCTCCCCAATGGTTTCTGCCTATCCCAGCAGATCTGGTAGATTCTGCATTCCATCAGTGAGTAATGTCATCCATTGGGTCCTAGAAAGTGGAATTTCTCTGCCATGTCTCCCACATAACCCACCTCCAAGGTATGGACAGCTCAACTTTGGTGGCCTTATGGAAATTGGCCCTTTCCCCAGAGATAGGGGGCAGGTTGTTAATTTAGGAGCTCCACTGTGTATATATATCATAGGTGTTTTGTGCTTTTAGTGAGAGGACCATTTTTTTGTGTGATTGTGTTTTATTATTGCTGGTGTTTTATATGATATGTGCACCACCAAGAGTTTTGTCAGAGAAATGCAGCCTTACAAATTTGATTAATCAATCAATCAATACCTAGACATGGAAAAAAATATCTGCCTATAATTGCCCACGCCTGCAAGAATTTATAAAAATAGGCTGGATCCATAGTGTTTCTGAGCTATCATTCAGAATATGACACATTTTCCACCTTGACTTTTTTAGACCTCAAGTTAGACTGGTCAGCTAGACTGCATTATGGAAAGTGTGTGTGTGTGTGTCTGTGTGTGTGTGTGTGTGTGTGTGTGTATTTGTAAGTGAGAGAGAAAGAATGAGAAACAAGGATTAAAGCTTTTAGTTCAGAGAGTGAAAAACCAAAGTTACAGCCACATTTGTTTCTATGTATTCACATTCTCTGAATAATTATAACAAGTAGCACTGAAGCTATTAAAAAAACTCTGAAAAAGAAAGGTAGCAATGTTGTATGTTCACTTTTTGCACCTCTTTCTCAGTAAAACCTTTAAAGCATATTTATTTCATGCTCAAATTTAGTTCTCTTTAGAAGTACTAAAATCTAGGCCTTTAAAACTGTTCAAACTATTGGATTACAGATCTCCAGTTTTTCAGCAATATCTCTCTCCACACACTTGTATGTTGTTTCTACTTTTGCAGATGAAACATACAGTGTAAATTATGAAGCAAAGAACATGACTACTTTAACAAAGATGTGAACACTAGACTGTATGCTGAAGTGTGGTATAAACTACTAGCAAGCTGTCTAATCTCGAGGCAACTACCTGACAAGAAACCTGTTTCCAAAATTTCTAAGTTTATTAACTTTCATCATCATTATTATATTTCTTTCATAAACATTGTTCCTGACAAACCCTTTACATAAATTGTGATTGTTTGGAAAGAAGAAAATAAATTGGCTATGACAATGGTGAAATAGCTGGCTTGCTATCCCTCCCAAGCAGATAATTGTCTAAAATTTCTCTTCCTCCTTGGTCATAGTTGGAAGAAAAAGACAGAGAGAGAATGACAGAACGGTATTAATCCATCACGAATGCATATATAACCATCCTAACACTCAAGCCGAGATTTGTGACATTGATATTCCATCAAGTTAACAATTATGCCATTGGCTCTCACATTTAGAACAATTAATCAGTGGAATGACTTGCCTCCAGAAGTTATGAATGCTCTAACACTAGAAGCTTTTAAGAAGAGATTGAACAACCATTTGACAGAAATGGTATAGGGTTTTCTGCCTGAGCAGGGGGTTGGACTAGAAGACCTCCAAGGTCCCTTCCAATTCTGTTATTCTATTCTCTTACATTCTAAGTTAGTTCTGGGTTAGAATGATAAATCTTAAAAAATCTTTTAAAAAGTGGAGCAAATAAAATCCTACATATATACATACATATATACATACATATAAGAGCCTGTAGTACAGTGGACTAAGCACTGTTATTAACATCTGCTGCTTGCAATTACTGCAAGTTCAAATCTCACAAGGCTCAAGGTTGACTCAGCCTTCCATCCTTTCAAAGGTAGGTGAAATGAGGACCCAGATTGTGGAGGCAATAAACTGACTTTGTATAAATATACAAAAGTATGAAGGCTATTGCTTAACGCATTGTAAGCCGCCCTGAGTCTCTGGAGAAGGGTGGCGTATAAATTAAAGCAAAAAAATACATACATACATACATACATACATATATCTATATCTACATCTATATCTATATCTATATCTATCTATGTATCTATGTATCTATGTATCTATCTATCTATCTATCTATCTATCTATCTATCTATCTATCTATCATCTATCATCTATTTATCTATATACACATACACATACACATATAATATATGGCATAAAAGAATTGTGATAGCACAGTGGTTAGAATGCAGCATTGCAGGCTAATTCTGCCATCTGCCAGGAGTTCAATGGCTCACTGTTGACTCAGCCTTCTATCATTCCGAGGTCAGTTTAATGAGGACCCAGATTGTTGGGGCAATATGCTGACTCTGTAAACTGCTCAGAGAGGGCTCTAAAGCACTATGAAGTACTATATAAGTCTAAGTGCTACTACTAGTTGTTTTGGTAGTCCTTGGCCGGATGTCACAGTGATGGTGAGTTTCCTTCACACCATCTTTGTAGTGCTTGTGTGGTCAACATCAAAGTCTCTTCCCAGATTCCAGTATACTATAAAGCAACTCCTGAAGCATATGGTGGTCATACATTCTGATGATATGACTCAACCATCTCAATTGGGCTCTGAAATTCAGAGACTCAATGCTGGTGGACTCCACATGATCCAAGACCTCCAGGTTGGAGACATGCCTTGTGAACAAATGCTAACATTAGAGAAGAGAGTGTTCATTGAAATGTGTGTTTGATATGCCTTCAGTAAATTTGTGTTTGATGTGCCTTCAGTAAAGAGACCAGGATTCCTATCCATATAGGAGATAAGGGATAATCACAACTCTGAACTCTGTAGATTTTTTGCTTTGTGGCGATAAGGATGTTGTGCTATTGATCACTTTATTATGAAGCCGCCTCAGTGTCTGGTTAGTTTTGCTGATCTTCGAGTCAATTTCTTTGTCCAAAGACCCAGCACTTGAGATGATGCTTCCCAAGTATCACCTGCCAGATATAACCCTTTCAAGTCACAGACAATCAACTGATCATTAGGAAAATAAATGACTTCCCTCCTGAATCCATATCACTTACCTCCCATGTTATAACCAATTCAGATTTAGTGCCACCACCTCCACTGACATTGGCTGGAGTGACTTCAGGAACTGCAAAAGGGAAGAAAAATACTGTACTGTAGCAACCAGGCCAAAATGCAAATCCGATGCTATAATAACTTATTGTAAAGATTTTAGACATAAGTTTGTTAGGACTTAAGACAAACCCAGTTGCTTGAAATTTCAAGGCGATTTGCACAACCAAATTTGCTTTTCCTATTTTTTTCAGATTTTTTTTTTTTTGCATATTGTATATTTTTAATTAAGATGAGCTTGCTTTTCAATGGAATATTATTTATTGCGCTTTTCCTGCATAACTGCATTGCTACAAATGTCCTGAATCTTCTTGCAATTAATGACTTCAATCAGCTTTCTCAAACTGTGGTTCATGACCTCAGGTGGAAAAGAACAGTGAGGGAGGTTTTAATTTAAAAAAAAAAAAAAAAAACTTGTATTAGGGACAGATTGAACCTTGGACTTTTGAGTATTGCTAAATTTAGAAACCATTTTTTAAAAAGGAGCTTCCTTTTCTAACAGAAGTATGAGGATTCTGTGAACTATAAACAATTCTGTACTATATTCTTGGTGTTTTACTATGTCTTTTTGGTATATCTGTGCCTGTTGTGGTATTTTGTACACTCCATAAAAGTGTACATATTAAGTGTACTTATGAGTGAATTTTAGTTTTTCTTAATCGATGATTTTTTTATGTAAAAATTATTAAAAGATAAATTTTCTTATGAAAATAATTTAAAAATGAGTAAAACCACACCTATACGAAACTATTAGTTCATTTAACCATCAATGTGACCGACTCATTTTAGAACTGTTAACACTTATGACTGTGATGGTTCCATTATGGACATAACTAGGATCGCTTTTATATTAAATGCATTTTTCCCTTACTTGTGAAATGATTAAGCCAAATATGTGCTTTATTGAATATCAAGAAATATTGATTGAAATATTGTTTCTTTTTATAATCCTACTTACGGGCCTCTTCAGTTCTTCGTTTCTCTGATGGTTTGCTTGGTTCCCCAATTCCAATAAGGCTGGCAGCTACTATTCGGAATTCATATTCAACCCATGGGTTTAAGCCCACCACCGTTGCTGTAAATGTATTTCCGTCAATGACATCAGGCACTGGAAGAAATGTTGTGGGTCAGGAAACAGAATGAAAAAAAAGTATGCCTGGTAATCACTGTATAATTGAAAAAAACATTATATACATATAATTTTAAAGGTTCAAAATTTAATGCTGAAGAAACACAGCAAGCAGGACAACAGAACAGAAACTAAGTGGAAATAATAGACTCCTAGACTACAGAATTTAACTATGAGTTGGCTGGTCTTATTTTTCATCAATACTGAATTTATGGTTAAAATCACGGCAGAAGAGGTGCTAATCAGTTGAATACCACAATTGAGTAGTTATAAATAATTTGACAGATATAAAACAAACAAACAAATGGTTTGGGGATTGGGTGCAAGAGGCTAAATAAGAAGCTGTCACCAGACTGAATAAAATTCAAACAAAAGAATGAAATATATTGAAATGAAACGGTGAAGTAAGGGTTCACTGCAAGGAGTATTAAGATACTGTATGTGTGTGAGGTTTGTAATGAAATTGTAGAATTGAAATGAATGCTATAAGTACAGTACTAATGCCCAAGGAAAGAATTGTAAAAAAAGAAATTTAAAAAATGCTTCTAACAATGCTGAAAATGTTAAATCTTAGGAATAGATGGTACTGATACTGAAAAAAATCTTAAAATATGAATGTGGTTTGCCTGTGGAGCAGCATTATCACTTGTCTAACCCAAGTGTGAAGACTGCATTTGTACTTAACATACGAAGAATGGCATTGTTTTCTGTTTAGAACCAAAGGTAGGTTGCTCATCCTAGCATGACTAGCAGAATTCTGATTAAAAAAGATAGGGGTGTTAACAAAAAAAACAAAAACAAAATTTGATAAGAGCAGTAGAGCTTTATTCCAGGCACAGAGGGTGCAGATTAAATGTTGCTGTTTAGCAGGTAATTAAGACATGTATGATTGGGAAATGTCTATTGTATGCTTCTTAATTTAATGAAAAGAGTAGGCTTGAGTCATGGAGTGCTTTGATCAGGCATATAGTAAGTGTACATCTGATGCAGTGGTGGGATGCTCCCGGTTCTGTCTGGTTCTTTAGAACCGGTAGTAAAAGTGGTGGGATGCTCTGCCCACCCGCCCGGACGTCATAATTGACGATCTGCGCATGCACAGAAGTGTGCGTACACAAGCAAACCGAGCACCCGTGTGCGCTCCCGTTGCAAACCAGTAGTAAAGGTAAGTAGACCCCACCCCTGATTTGATGGATATAAAACATGTATGACACGAAATAGGATGGTTCAACAACAAACAGGGACTAGGACAAGGATGTGTGTTAGCTCCTTGTTTAATGTATTCATTAAATAATGCTTTAGTGAAATTAGAAATACGTTTGTTAATTGTCTAAATGTGTATCTAATTTTGCATGTAAGGGATGCTGTGTTTTTGGGGTGACAACTGGAATGATTCATTGTGAATATTACATAATACATATAATACAAGGAACGTGGATTTGAAAATTAAGATGGAACAAGGCTGGGTCAAAGTGTGTTGAGTGATTGCGAGTTATATATACATGACAAAAAACAAACCCAAAACTAGAGAAATAAATGCATTTGTGTACCTTAGAAGGACATTTACTAAAGATTATAAACTTTATGGAGAATTTTTAAGGTGTGTAAATGCTAGTTAGTGGAAAGTACATGGTCTGTTAAGAGAAATGCATATTTTTCAAAAGAAGCAAGAGGAGTTGGGTATAGAAGCATCCTTCTGCCAACTTTGTCACAAGGAATGTTGGCTGTGTCAGGAAAAACAAAAAGCTGAATGGAACAGGAATATGGTACTTAAGGTAAAGAAAGAACGTTTACAGAGATTCTCAATCGTCCAGGTTATGGTTGTCCCAAAGGTGCTTTTTCCAGAGGCAACTGAACTTCTTTGCTTTTCCTTGAAAGGAAAGGAAAAACAAGATCCAGTTGCCTCTGGAAAAAGCACCTTTGGGACAGTAAAGAAAGAATGTGTGGTGAAAGAATATGGATAGAAAAGAATTGATTGAGTGAATTGATATAAATTAGATTTAGTTATAGTTCCTTCTCTTTTTCTTCTTTCTTATGCTTTGCTGTGCACTGTACAATATTGCTCACCATTAAAGGAACAACATGATGAATATGAACTTGTAGGAATTATTGATTTTCTTACTTTCTCTATGAAGATCATCGTATATACTGTATGTTCTGTTTATCAATATTACATTTTATAGATTCACGCTGACTTGACCATTTTGTGTATATAGAAAAGTTTAAAAATCCCACTCTGTATGCTTTGAAGTAGTTGTCTACCTGTATTTACTCCTTGCCATCCAACTGAAAATGGGGTCCTTGCTTGAATAACGTATGTTGTAATGGGACTGCGGTTATCTGCTCCTGGTCTCCAAGAAACCTGAGCTGTAGTGTCTGTTATCTCATCAATTGTCACAGCTTCAGGAGGACCTGGGGGACCTGTTATGAAACATCCAAAATAAACAAAAATACATTTTGGTTCCCCTCAGTGAGATATACATAGCAAATAATAGCCTGCAGAAGTAGTCCACATTTAAGATGAAGAGTTGCAAGACTTTCCTGTTCAATTCTAAAAAAAAACCATTGGTATTATAAAAATCTGTTCTTTGTAGAAAGAAACTGCGGGAGATCCAGATGCAAAATATATTGTCCAAAGTAGCCCAATGATTTCAGTGTTTGAACTATTCTACACTGCCTACTTCCGCAGAGTTTTCAGAGCCCATGATGGTGATGTAAACTATACAACAAACTTGAAATGTTTGGGATATTTTGGGCATTACCTTTTTGATTTGGATCAATTGAAATTCTTGGCACTAAAGGAGAACTTCTGTTATAAAAATTCTTTTGGATGCTAAATTTATTCTGACATAGATAAACTTTAAATATAGTGACTAAAGTTATGTTTTAACAGAGAGATGTGTTCTTTAGCACAAGAGACACAAGTATTATTGTTTTTGCCCACGTAAAAGGACTCAGCAAATCCTTTCTTATACAGTAGCTCAGTTTTTAAAAGGGGTTTATAAGAAAATAGGGAAAAAATGAAAAAAAAAAAGAACATTTGCAATGGTGAAAAATACAAAATGTTTAAATTCCTAAAATCTTTCTAATCTGAACCTAGAATGTTATCAGTAAGAGTGCTACAGATTTTCAATATAATCCTATTCACATTCATAGAGAAGTAAGCCCTAAAGGCTCAGTGGTTTATCTTTTCAGATAAGTGTGCCTTAGCCTGAAACACTTATCTGGTGTAATCTTTGCATGTCTTCTTGGAAATTGAGTGTTTCAATGACATCCTTACATTACCTCTTTGTGCAATATGACAGTGAGCTTAGAAATGGTTAATATCTGGGAGGAGGCAAAATGATTTCATGAGTTATGTCACAAATCTGGGTTGTTTGGGTTTTGGGTTTTTTTTTTTTTTTTTGCATGAAAACCGTGATGTGGAATACTGTCTTGTCTGACTTGGGAACCTTCTGCTGACCTGTAAAAAGGTAAAGGTTTCCCTGTTAGTTACGTCCTGCATGATGCTCATCTCCGTTTCTTGGCTGAGGGAGCCAGCATTGTCTAAAAACAATTTCCATGTTCATGTGGCCTGCATGGCTATAAGCCAAAGGCGCATGGAACACTATTACCTTCCCATCAAAATGATATCAATGTATCTACTCGCATTTTCATGCTTTCTAACTGCTATGTTAGGCAGGAGCTGGGACAAGTAACGGTAACTCACCCGTTGCACGGAGCTTGGGTCTTGAACCTGGGCTGTCAACTGCACAGCTGAGCTCAGCATCTTTAACCGCTGAGCCATTGTGCCCCCTCAGTGCTGACCTGTATCACTATAATTTTTACTAGGAGATGGCCATAATTATATGGCCAACTGGCCATATAATTAGAGCAAATCTGAGCAGTGAGGGCAGAGAAATCTATTCACTGAGGATTTCCCCAGATCTGGAATATTCTCATTTCAGATATTCACCAAAATCCAATAGAATGCCTTTCTGAGTAGAAGACTTTATTAGGGAAAAAAAATTACTGACTGAGGATCAGCATATTAGAAGCAATAACAACTTGTCATTCTCTCTACCTCTTATTGCTTGTTTGCCAATTGCCCTCCGTACAGTAACATAGCTGGGAATCATATTGGTTACACCAAACCATACCCCTGAAGAATGATGTAAATTTATTAGCCAAATAATTGTACTTCGGTGCCCATGGAGGCTTCATCCCATTCCCCTCTATTTGGTACCTTGTTTTTGTTTTTTAACATTCCTTTTCCCCATATCCCACATTCTGGAGGTCTTCCATTCCTCAGGAAATAGATGGGAAATCTCTGTTTTAAGGGTGAAATCATAGTGATGACTGAGAGTTGAAGTCACAATTTTAGCTGCTCTTTTCAAAATGATATTGAAAATGAAACTTTAAAAATAAAGTAGATTTAACATTTAAATTTTTATTTATTTATTTTATACTACAGGCTATACTGTCAGGAACTTTGACATACAGTATTAAATAAGTCTTAACAATACAGCTTGAACTGTACATACATATTCCATAAATCAATTATTGACAAGCATGCAATTTTAGTTTACTAAATATATGTGTTGGACTTGCAAAAGACATATTATTTAATTTCAGTAATAACATTATGAAATGTTCTAATGTCACCTTAGGCTGCACTTACTAAAAAATAAACCCTTTGAATTAATGGGACTGACTCTTTAAGTAAGCATACACCAAATTATGATCGTAGTAAGTTTTCATCATGATGATACTTTTTCTATAAAAGTTATCTCTATTGATCATTAGAGCTGTGTGTATAGTATGTTGTGGTTCGTAATCTTGTATCTTTCACCCTGATGCTTTTAAAAATGGCTGCTTAAAGAAGATTCACCAGCTGTGAGAATAAATAGTTTGAATGTGTTTGCTGGAAGCACGTAGCACAGTCTTTTCAAGAGTAGATTCCATAGTAACACATCAAATGTAAAATGTAAAAATACAATTAAATGGGATTTGTGCCGAATACTGTAATTTAAAAAAACCAAATTGATTTGACATTAATAGAAAGCCTTTGCTTAACTAAAGAACTTCACTTTTAGTAAGGTGCTACAGAGTGCTTTAACAGAATAACAGAGTTGGAAGGGACTTTGGAGGTCTTCTAGTCCAACCCTCTGCTCAAGCAAGAGACCCTGTACCATTCCAGACAAGTGGCTGTCCAGTATCTTCTTAAGTGATGGAGCACCCACAACTTCTGAAGGCAAGCCATTCCATTGGTTAATTGTTCTCATTATTAGGAAATTTCTCCTTAGTCCTTTGTTTTTTAATCATTTGCCAGTTTATTTTGCCAAATAGGATGGTGAAACTAAATTTGTACACTTAAATGAAATGTCAATTACAATGACAAGGGAGTTTTAGACTAAGTTAGGCTCTAACTCATTTGGTTGATTAAGCAAATGTAGGTTTTTTGTCATGAATGAACATCAGTAACTGAAAGGAAAGTTTGGCTGGTGTTTCTTTTTATCCACTAGATGGTGCAGTGTGGCTAGAAAATGGAGCACTAAAAAAAAAAAATATCCCTACAACTCCAGATGCAAGAAAAAAGAAATTCACTATGTTCGCGGACCCCTGTAATGTATTTTCTTCTAAAAGACTCCTAATAAAATGTAAGATTATTTCTCCCAAAATGATGTATATACTTAAGAACTTCAAGTATTACAGATTTTAAATATTTAGCAGCCTAATTTCTGAGTATTTAAACTGTTCATTGAACCTTGTTCTCATGAAGTGGAACAGGCGTTTACCAAAGCTACAATATATCTTAATTCCAAGAGGGAGCAGCAGATAAACTGCAGCTGCCTTTTTAAATGGACAATGAATATGCCCTCCATTCTCCCACTTCCCAGCTACTCTAGAATAGCTAGACTAGACTAGAAAGTCTTCCATTCTGCTTTTCAAGGGAAAATATAATATATATAAAAGAAATACACTGAATTAAAGCAGAAGCAGTATACAGGATTAGCTGCCATTACAAAATAAATGTGAGTAAAAATCTGATCAAGGTATTCACCTGATTGATACAGAGTTATTTATTGCATTTAATAAGAATCAATGATTTTATTCAAGAGCTGCATTACAGCAGGCCCACATCTCTATGTTGTCAAAACCTGGACTAGCTTTGTTCCTGTATATATTACATCGAGGAGGTACAAAACATTACCTGGAGTCTTATACAGGTAATCCTCAACTCACAACCATGATTGAGACAAGACTTTCCATTGCTGAGTGATGCAGTCGTAAGATCAGATGTCACTTCACCACCTATTTTAGCAAAGGTAATCCTGGCACTTCCCATTGACGATGTTAAACAAATTCTGATACTGGAGGACTCATCCCAATCCAAGCCATTCTGGTCTATGTTCCTCAAGGTAAGGAGCTGCCTCAAATTCCCCCCACCTGCTTATCTTTCTCTCCCCATCTCTTTCCTTTTGGTCACCCTACCTCTTACCTTGCAAGGAGGCAAGATTGCTCAGAATCATGCAGCTCTGAAGGTGCTTGACACACTCCCCCTCAGGAGCTTCTTGGCATGCTGCAGCTCTGGGGATGCAAGAAGTCCCTGAGCTGTAGCATAGTGTGAAAAGCCACAGCCATCTCCGGAAGCCTCAGCTGCCCCAGAAATGCAACAGGGGCTTTCTTGGCACACCATGGCTCTGGGATTGCAAGAAGCTCCTGTGCCACAGTGCAGTGCGAAGCCCTTTGCAGCATGAAACCCAGCTAGAGCTCGACCAGCAGTGCAACACAAAGCTGCAGCCACGCCAACTAAGCCCCAGCCACAGCTGTCCTTTCTCTTCACGCTGCACTCAGGCCTCTACTGTCCCTGCTCTGCTGCCACAGCTGACTTTTATCATCTTGCTTCCACCGCTGTGTGCTTGCCCTGCCCTTTGCAATTCAGCTGCTGACCATGTAAGCCATTTTCCCCAGATTTCTTGAAGAAACTGCCATGAGCAACCTGGGAAATAAAGTCTGCCTCGTGAAGGGGCCAGGCTGGGACACTTGGTGAGCAGTGGGAACAAAAAGATGGCAAAGGTCAGGGAACAGGGGTAAAATCCAGCAGGTTCTGGAGAACCAGTAGCAGAAATTTTGAGTAGTTCAGAGAACTGGCAAAAAGCACCTCTGGCTGGTCCCAGAGTGGGATGGGAATGGGGATTTTGCAGTATCCGTCCCCTGGAGTGGGGTGGGAATGGAGATATTGCAATATCCTTCCCCTGCCATGCCCACCAAGACACGCCCACAGAACCAGTAGTAAAAAAAATTGGATTTCACCACTGTCAGGGAGGGCATGGGGGGTCATGGAATGAGGGGGCAAAAAGGGCATAAGTTTGAGTTAAATAGGTAGAGTTGAAGCACCTCTGTGATTGTAAATCTGAGTTGACTGCCAAGTGCCTGGATTTTGATCATATGACCACGGGGGAAATGGCCATAATTTTGGGAACTAGTCATAAATCCCTTCGTTCAGCACTACAATAACTTCGAATGGTCTCACTGAACAAATGTTCATAAGTCAAGGACTACTTGTACTTAGGAACTGTCTCTTTCCATATGAGGTGTACGGTAGTTTGCAATCAGCAATGGATGCTCTGTTATTTGTTGTTTCAAATATTGTGGATGGGATTACAAAAGATGGCTTCTCAATAGGGTCAATATAAAACTCTTCTAAGAGAGGTTCAGTTGGATGCTTTGTTTCATTTTGTTGCTTAAATTTTTAGGGCTCCCTGAATCTAGACAAGCTATAGTACTAAAAGTTTAAAAATACAGACAAAAGAATAACAGGCATCTTTCTTAAAAATCTTTCTTAAAAAGTCATATAATATACAAGGGGCTACCATATGGTCTGAGGAACAGCTAGGTTTTAAGGAATCTTATAAAAAAATCAGGGTGAGGGCCAAACAAAACTCTGAGATATATTCTTCCAATGGATGGGTACTGAAGTACATAAAGAAAAACTCTAGATTCCATCAGATGACACTGTTTAATGCAGAGGTGAGGAACTATGGCCCCTTTACAACTTGTGGACTTCAACTCCCAGGATTCCTGGGCTGGCTCAGGAATTCTGGGAGTTGAAGTCCACAAGTCATAAAAGGTTCCCCACCCCTGGTTTAATGGTTGGAACCTTGTGTATGTCAATTCTTCCCAAAATAGATGGTTCCTCAGATAACCAGTCCCTGAGCAATGAAAAATGCGGCTTTTTATATAAATCTTTGGATTACAGGTCTGAATGGGGAGAAACAGGCTTCGACTCAACCCTTCCAAGACCTGTGGCTGCCGGCGTCCCGGTATAGCCAGCTGGCGCCATCGCTGGTTATTGGTGGCGAATCATTGGCCCCCACGGAACGGGCTCGCAACTTGGGCGTCCTCCTGGACGCACGGCTGTCTTTAGAAGAGCATATGACAGCCGTGGCCAGGGGGGCTTTCTATCAGGTTCACCTGATACGCCAGTTGCGCCCTTTTCTGGATCGGGACTCCCTATGAACAGTCACTCAAGCACTCATCACTTCTCGTCTGACTATTGTAACGCTCTCTACATGGGGCTCCCCTTGGGGTGCACCCGGAGACTCCAACTGGTGCAGAATGCGGCTGCGCGGGGGATTATGGGAGCGACGGGGCGCTCCCATGTGACCCCTCTCCTGCGCGAGCTGCATTGGCTTCCTGTGGACTTCCAGGACCCTTCTCTGTGGTGACACCTACCCTCTGGAACAATCTACCCCCAGAAATACGAGTGATCCCAGACCTCCGGACTTTTCGTCGGGCCCTTAAAACCTACTTCTTTCAGTTAGCCGGCTGTCCTGATTTTATGATAGGTTTTTAAAATTTGAAATTGGTTTTAAATTGAAATGTTTTAAATTATGGGCCAAATTATTTAATTATTTTAAATCTATTTTAACTTTTGTGTATAAAGTGTTTTACTTTGGCTGTTCACCGCCCTGAGTCCGAAAGGAGAAGGGCGGTATAGAAATCTGAAAAATAAATAAATAAATAAATAAATAAACAGTGAGAATCAGTGTATTGATTTGATTCTTTGTCTTTTCTACATATAGTCGTCAACATATGGCCATTTGTTTAGTTACCAGTTGAAATTATGACGTGCTGAAAAAAGTGACTTATGTCTGATCCTCACACTTACGACTATGGCAGCATCTATGTGGTCATGTGATATCTAACTTGATTGTGACAATCCAGGCACTTGGCAACCAGCTATATACCGCAATTGTAGCATCCTGCAGTCATCTGATCATCATTTGTAACTTTCCCAGACAGCTTTTGACAAGCAAATCAATAGGAAAGCCAAAAGGAATGGTTGCAAGTTGTGGTCATGTGATATCTAACATGTCCGTGACAAAAAAGGTTGCAAAATTAGACGCAGTCATATCGTGCCTCACTTAATGACTGCATTGCTTAACCAGTCCCAACCGTGGTCGTAAGTAGAGGACTACCAGCATTATTCAATTTTTGTTTTTTGCTGCAAGTGACAGGGTTCAATTTCTTTATTACAATGTTTTTTTTTGTTTTTTTTAAAATTTGATTTATATGCCGCCCTTCTCCGGAGACTCAGGGCGGCTTACAATGCGCTAAGCAATAGCCTTCATCCTTTTGTATATTTTATACCAAGTCAGCTTATTGCCCCCACAACTGGGTCCTCAATTTACCTACCTTAGAAAGGATGGAAGGCTGAGTCAACCTTGAGCCTGGCGAGATTCGAACCTGCAGTAATTGCAGGCAGCTGGTCTTAATAACAGGGTGCTTTAGACCACTGTACTACCAAGGCTCTTTTTACGGGATCAAAAGACAATACGCACTGTTTACATAATTGACAAATGGGCAGTCGTGCCTATCATAAGCACAGTGATGCTAAAAGGATGCGTTGCATATTATAATATCACATGAGCTCCTCCCTTTCATCTTCTCGGCCAGGGGGCAGATTTTGCATTGCAATGTTTTGACATGTGTTTTGCTATTTGCCCCCTCCATGGATGTTTGATACTGTGAGATCAGACTATCCAGAAAAGAGGCATTTGATAGAAATGGCAATCAGGAAAATTAGATTCTAAGAACAAATACTCTTTACTTGTTACAGCTTTCCCCCAAATATTCAAGCCACATTAACCTTTCACCGGGACAATAATAAATTGCCACCAGATTAATGTATAGCTTTTAGCTTTTATAAATCTCTCTCTGACTAATGTTGCCTCTTGACTATATCGGTCAAATAAGCAAACTAAACTACCTCCAGTAATCCAGCACAATAGTCAGAGTTTGCCCTGAGGTGGCTGCATAACCGATCAGCGATTTGGGGTCACACTGATATTTTTTTTAAGCGTCATCATTTGCATTTTGTAGTAGCAGTATATTTACCAAGCGATGCTTAAAAGGTGGAGAAAAGCAGAGCAGAGTTCCTCTGCCACAGTAATGTGACTGCAGTACTTGGTACTTGGTCACAGTAACATGGCCAAGAGGTCAGCAGAAGTCTGATGTGGAGAGAGTGATATGGAAACAATAAAAGAGAGGGCAAAAAGGCTACAGGCAAATTATTGCTGCCAAAGCAACTGAAGCATGCATGCCGTTTCCTTCCCAGCTTGCAGTCAACCTCATATGTACGATGCATGCCATTAAAAAAAAACACAAACAAAACAACACTCACACACCCCTATCAAAATGGAGACACTTCACGCCTTGAGCAATATTTTAGTTCTTTACCTAACTATAATAATGATTAGCATATGTTAAACATTTCTTTCTTGTACTTGCATAGGCAAACTGTGGTGTTTTTGTTTGGATTACTAGTTTAAGGAACACAAAAAACAGCTTTTGAGCTGTGCTTTATGGTATTATTTGCAGTAGTTTTGCAACAACAACAGCAGCAAACAAAATTCAAATACCTCTTACAATCAGGTCTGCAGCAGCTGATAGTTTGTCCACGCTTGTTTGCACCATGCAGACGTATTTTCCAGCATGATTCAGCTGGATGCTTCTGATCATCAAATCACCAGCTGAATCCTGCTGATAAAGTAGGGAAAAATGTTAAAACTACTTTATAAAGAGCTATAAGTAGCATTATCATATGATGGCCACTTGGCTAATGGATTACTTTTACATCAAGTGATGGAAATGTAAGGCATGGCTTATTTAAACTATCTGGAGGATGTGGTGGTCTACAAATCAAAATTAAATCAATTAAAATAAACAATGTAAAATGTGTGAACAGGAAAGTATGGCTCCTTGTAAAGGACAAGAGAATTTCAGGTCAGTCAAGCACTTTACCATAAATTTGGTATGCAAAAAAGAGTTAATTTTTTTTTAATGTTCTACCTAAATGTCCAGTTTACAACCTTCATTGGTATTTGGACATCTGTTTTCTGCATATCTTCATCTATTAGGTCAACCCAAAGATGAGACATCTACAATAGTTTCCAGAGCCTTGTGGCACAGCCATGATTTAGAGGGACCACATATTTGTATAAGGTCACAAGGACTGCAAGGACTTGCATTACTTGGCATGGAACAATATAATTTTTTTTGAAGTGCAAAATATCTGTAACCAATTAGCAATTGTATGGATTTAATCATTGCTTCTGTGTGGTTGTGCAGCATCAGAAATATTTTGTGTACTTCTGCAAACATCTGAGTGAGTCCATGCAATAGTACCTGGAATTCCTTTTTATGTTTGAATTCAAAGAAAAGTTGACCATGGTTTCCAATCTGCAGAATCACATAGTTCTGTAGGGGAGATGGAAACTGTTGGAACTTTTAGCAGCTACTTGGTTTTTTTAATTGAGCCAGACAGTGGCAGATAACTGCAGCAAAGTATTAAAAAAATGCCTGACTTTGTAGACAACATTTATATATATATAAATGTTCAAAGGGTTCAAAAAAATTATAAGACTTATTTTCGGGGAAACATGATATGTGTGTGTGTGTGTGTGTGTGTGTGTGTGTGTGTGTGTACCTGAACCCCTGCTGCTTGCCTTTGAGAGCCACACATCATGAGAGTCTCCTAAAACATCCCTGAGGGAGGGTACAGATGCTTCTGAATGTCAGCTGACATTTCCCAACTGTTCTGTTGTACTGCAAAGAAACTGCTATGATGCCTTTCAAACACACTCATTCTCTCTCTCTCTCTCTCTCTCCCCCCCCCAATCATCTCCCATGGAATTCCATCCAGATCTTGCAAAACCTTAAGGTGCTTTGGAACACAGTTTGAAAACTCTGCTCTAAAGTCAAGGAGGGAGCAGGGAACATTCTGCAGAGTGGAACATTCCTGCATAGTGGCAACTAGCTTTAAGTATAGTTTTATGTTCTGACTTTCTGTTCTCTCGTTTTACACTTTGGTGGAGCTGTTTTATGGAATATAAGTATTCCATAAAAAGAAATAGACAGTTTCTCTCTGAGATTTCAGTTGTCGTTTGCAGTAAAAAATTTTTTAAATAAAATGTCAATTAATTTTATTGACAATGTTGACAAATATTGAAGGACTAACTACCTATTTGATTCTTCCTGAATGCATAGTTTTACATTTACTACGTTTTGTTAATGAACTGTTATTTTTGGAAAGCAGAGTATTCCAAGAAATAAGTACTTGGATCATGTGATCAAGAAGCTAACTTGGTAACATAGAATTTAGATAAGTCAAATATTTTATTGCTGAAGTTATAAACTGCTATGATTTGATAACGTAACTGTGAATAGACTTAGGGTTAACAACTAAACAGACAGACAATCTATAAACATATCATCAAACTTTATTACTGAACACTCATGAAGTCTGCAACAATTACTACTAATAATATTTACCCCTCCAACTCTTTCAAAGTGATCTCCATCTCTTTCAAAGTCTATCAGACGTCCATTAAATGACCATGTAAAGACAATGTCTAGTGGATGATCATGAGATACTTGGCAAGGCAGAAGAATACTTTCACCAGCAGTGACATCCATGCTGGTAGGTGCCACCACAAATCGTGTTGGATCTATAAATAATTTCAAAGAATAAATGATCAGATTTTTAAAAGTATAGTTTAAAAGTCTTAAACTTTTAGAAGACTTAAAACTTTAAAATAATACTTGCATGATATTTGGTCAGCATAATTTTAAAAAGCCAGTTTAATGCAGTTGTCTTAACTAACATATATATTTTTATCATCTTAAACTTTAATAATGTGGACAATCATAGTATTTTTAGTAATTGTAGCAGAGAAATGTAAGCATGTTTTTCCATGTTAGACAATAGATAGTAGATACCACTATCAAGTTGTTTTGCTCTGCTGTAGTGTTTTTGCCCATTTGCATGTGATTATTTAAAATAAAATTTTAAAAAACCTTTAAAAAAATTCTGAAGAATTTCAGAAATGATTTCATTGTTGTATTTTCCATACAATGAGGTATACCTAGGTTAGGAATCTGGAGGACAAAAGTAACATTTTATTACTTCTGGTATTAGAATCATAATGATATCATGTTAAATAGCAAGAATGTAAAACTTCTGGTTCAATAAGGAAGAGGAGATGTGCTATGGCCTATTGGCCACTGGCCCCACCAGCAGCTGAATCAGAGGAGGAGGAGGCTTGGGAGTCAGGGTCAGCATCAGGGCAATCTGGGAGCTCTGAGGGGGAAGAGGGAATGGAGCTGGTAGAGAGAGAGAGACAGAGGCGGAGCCTGGGCTATCCGTCAGTCCTCAGATGGAGAGTCAATAGCCCACAGGTCTGATGTGGTTGATGAAGAAGAGAAGGAACAGCTGGGTCCAGTGCCTGATGCGTGGCTGCGCAGAAGGCAGAAAACAGGAGAGCAGTGGAAAGCCATGGGCCGATCCTGGGGAAGGAAGAACCACCGCTGCTAGTGAGGCCCCACCCTAACTCTGTGGATAAAAGACAGGTGGCGAAGATGAATAGGTGTGGCAGACAACTATTCATTTTCCGGCTGTTTGGACTTGTTAGCCTGCAAGAGAAACCTTTTGCCAAGACTGCTTGTACTCCTAATAAAGGAATCTTTTGAGTTCACGTTAGAGGGTTTGTCGTGTTTGAGGAGCTGGGTCAGAACAAGATGAAGTCTAGAAATGAGGTACTTAAATCATCTTTATTTCTAGCTGGATGTTGGAGAGAATTCAAGAAGCTTAAAGTGGCACTATGGAAAAGCTCCAAGAGTTTCCCTATTTATCATTAATTATTAGTGAATTAAATGAAATGTTGGGAGAAAGTGCTCCCTGGCTTGTTTTGCTATTAAATGACAGCTCTATGTTAAGCAGACTTCTTTTTAATTTTGGTCCAACATACCTGATTTCATAAGTCTGCAAATCTCTCCAACCCTGCCAGCAACAGCTGGAAAGCATGGTACACTTACAATGGAACATCTGGGTCCCCATCCACCTTTCTCAAATCGCACTTCTTTTGTACCTGAATTTCTTGTACCAATAACCCTTTAGAGGCTACTTCTTAAGCAGAACGACAAACCAATTTTAACCAATTTGATATGTTTTAATACTTATAAATGAGCAGTGAAAACAAGAAAGATGACAGTAAGAATTCTTGAATATCAACATCCTCATTCAAGTTTAGGAAAAAGTAAGGACAAATGTACTGATGAATTCTAACTCTTTAAATATATAAAGATATAACTTGCAGCAAACATATTAAATGTAGAAATCTTCAATTTCACCTGTACCACAAAAAAAGTGACAGCTATATAACATGATTTAGTAATATACATTTAATAAAATATGGCAGAGTAAGAAACTTATTTAATGAATTGGGAAAACTCAAATGACTTAGTCTGAACACCCAAAAGAGAAGTAGCTGAGAATTCAATTCAGTTTAAAAGTTTTTTCACTACATGGCTGATCCAGATGTTGGTCAATTATTGTTACAGGGCAAATCTCAACTCTCATCCTTTCAAACATTTCTAACTTTTTCCTAGTTAATATGAGCCACTCTTGCTTAATTAAGGGAAATGTCAGTGTTATTCCATTTAGCACCCTTTTGGGACCCCAAGAATTCTGCCCATTCTAGTGGTTAGAATGGAGTATTGCAGGCTAACTTTATATAAGTGGTATGGTATATAAGTCTAAATGCTATTTGTTTCTCTTCCTCAGAATTAAAGAATTGTCTCAATGTTTTCATGGGAATGTGTGAATTATTCTAAACATTTGCATTTCTAATATATTAAAAGTTGAGAACTATCCTTAGGCTGACTATTTTTTTTGGGACACAATACTGCATGTTTTTTATTTTTTTCGGAGGAAGGAAATACAATATCTTCTTCTGCTTTTACAGCTAATTCTGACATTCCTATATACATTTAAATTTTTAATTGTTTGTTTCTGCATTGCAAGCTTTTTTCCTAACGCCTTTATTGAGTTACACTCACTCTCAGTCTTATTATTTAAGCTTCAAGAATGTGTCTTAAAGACAATTTATTTATTTCCGTTGCTGATTGTAACAATTCTAACTCAGGTGTTCTATCCATGGTTTTCTGACAGTACAAGTATGTTCTTCCCTTTTCATTATTTGTTACATGCAAAATATTGAAACCATTCTGTCTTTGAAAAATTGGTGCTGCCTTGTTCTGATTGCATTTTTGTTTTGATTTATTCCCTAGAGCTTGCTGCCTAGATGATATAATTTTTCTCCCAATCCCAGAAATCTGTCTCTGTTTCAATCACATTTTCTCTCACAAAGCCTACATCAGTAAATGGTTAGTCTTGCCCAACTATCACTTTGTCAAATTTTGATCTTTGCTAAAGCTTACATATGCATCTTCTCTTGTCTTCAACATTATATATTTCCACAATATATGTTTAAAAATGTACATACAATACCCATGTTTATCATAATATTGTCTGATTTTTTTCTTTTATTGAATGTTCAAATCCTTCAGATTTGATTAGAAAATGACTCACTAATTCAAATGAATTCCATTTATCCATAACTATGTTAGTCTTTGGTTCAGACTTTATTTAATAGTATGTCAGGTAGTATAAGTATGTCAGCAAGATATATTAAAAAGTATAAATTAAAGCTATCTACATTGTTCTGGGTGCATGTGAAAATAGATATCTAAAGGTAAGTGATAGTTATATGTTATGCTTCAATGAGCAGTGTTAATTGAATGATCAGGGATAAGCTGTTCAATGTTCTGAATGAATGAAATCCAGAAGAAATAGATTGCATGAAAGGATGTGTGGAATTGATATTAGAAAGTAGAGGGCCATTTAGAAACATAAGAATGGTGATACTTTAGTGACTGGGTAGTTAGAAAAAAAATCTGTCTATTTTGAATATGTAGTTTAAATGTAAGTCTACGTAAGCACACATGTGGAAATATTGAGAGATTTAAGTAAATTAAGTACAAAAGTAAGTAAAAGACCCTAGGTTGGAAGTAGAATTAATCCAGGAATCCTCTATGGAAAAGTGTTAAAAATAGATTTGAACTCCCAACTGAATGGACAGAAAGTGTTATAAAGAAGAACTAGAAGAAGTGTGAAATGGAGTGTAAATAATTATGCAAGACAGTGTCAGAAGCATGTGGAGTTATGCTGATGCAAAATATACCTGTTTGGTGGAGTGAAGAAGTCAAGAAGCTTGAATGAGAAAAAAAACGCATACTGGAGAATGATAGCTGCAAAAACTGGAGATGAGAGAAAGATCCTGTATATTGTGTATGTGCAGGAGAAAAGATAGCTGGAAAAAATAAGTGTGAAGATTAAAAAGGGGAGAGGAAATACAGAGCTATTTTGGGGGAAATAAAATATTGCTTGGGAAATGGATGAAAAGTGCTAAACAAGCCAGCTTCAACAGAGTGAATGGAATTAAAAATAAAAGTGATGAACGATTTGGAATGAAACTGAAGTGAGGCCATGCTAGAAATAGTAATTTGATTTGAATGAGAATGATAGTGATATTTCAAAGAGTGGGATTGAAATGAATGCTATAAATGCAAGTAGCCAAGAAGAACCTGGAAAAAGAAAGTAAAAATGATGTGCAAGTGTAGATTTGAGCAAATATGCAACTGAAGGCTGATTGTGAATATAGCAATAGTCTATATGGAAGCAAGGCATGCATGAAAATAAAAATAAATGAGATACTTAGCAAGTGGTTCAGCATTGAACTTTAAGTAAGAAAATAATGATGATATTTCCTAAGTGGTTTAATGGCTTTCTGGTGATATGTACAAGGAACGCTTGTAGTGAGTAATCTGTAATCCATTGTGAGGAATGAATGTTTACTGAAATAGGGGAATAGCTTCTATTGTATATGTGCTTCTGCCCAATTTGTTACATGGAAATAAGAGCTGGATACGTCAAGAGAAATATAACAAGAAGTGGAATTTAATGATCCCAGGGTACTTAAGTGTATGTTGTAGAAGAAAGAAAGCGATGAACAAACGTGGAATACACAAAAATGAATTAACAGTGCAATAAAAATCCATCCAAAATATGCTGAGATGGCTTGGTCATATGGGACAATGAATGAAGGTCAAATTAATATAGGAGAATATTCCTAGCCCAGGGTTGAACTGTAAAGTTTTTGAGTCTTCTGCCTGCCTGTTCTACATAGCAGCTGTTACAGTATGCTAGAAGAGTGCATCCATAAACACCTACTAGCAGCTAGAAGACGTGATGACAACTCCCTAATTTCACAACACATGAATAGACCTAACCATAGTTTCAAATGAGAAATTGTGAACATTGCAGACCAAGCTATATTGAAAAACACTAGAAAATTCCTGTAAATTTTGCACTTAGGTCAATGAGCCATCTACGGGTGCATAGAGGTAAACAACATTTACATACCATTCAAAAGAGAAAATAAAAAAAGGAAACAAAAAGACCAAGACATGTCCTCACCAATAATCAACACCCAGACAAATAATAAAACAGTAAACAATATCCTAACCACAGAACTATCAAAAAAGCAGCAAATAACAGCCCAATCAAGGAACTAACAAAGAAAAAACACACCCTACCAATTCTGACAGG